CGCGGCCTCCTGACAGCTCGTCTGTTTGAGGTACTTGGAGGTTCATGGTACTGATTCACCAAGTATAACTGTACCTATAACCCACTTATAAGCCAGCTAAGTGCCCAAATCTGGTTTTAAGTACAGTTATCAGTACAGTCCACTTGGTTCCGCGCTCCTGGTCGGGTTACCTGAGCAATGCATGGTTGAAGTTAAGTTTAGCCTCCAAGTTAAACCGCAAAGAGTTGCATTCTCCAGTTTTCGTTCTCTGGAGGTGGTAATGCAATGCAAACCCTTCAGTTGGCTTGTGCATCTGCTGCTATTCGGGCAGCAAGTGCACGCTGCACGCCAACGAGGTTACTTAGCCATACCAGACTTATGCCCACTTCAGTGCTATCACCAGCACACCCTGGTATCACGCCAGTCAGTCTATAACCATTCCACCAGTCGGTTCAATACCGATAACGGTGGGTAGGCTAAATTCACCTTGGCGCTCCAATTGTTCTATGCATTTAGTACCCCTATTCTAATCCCGAATAAGGACTGTTAATACAAGGGGGAACATCCCGACCCTAAACCCTAAAACCCGCAAATTTAGAGTTGGGATGTCAGGTTTGTCCACGACCCTGAAGGGGGCTCCCAGGTTGTTCTCGTGGACAAACCTCACCCTAAACCCTAAACCCTAAACCCTACATCCTAAACCCTAAACCCTAAACCCTAAACCCGAAACCCTAAACCCTAAACCCTAAACCCAACTCTAAACCTTGAGGGAACATCAGGAATACAGGTTGAGAGAACCAGGGAATCCAGGTGCCCAGATTGCTGCTACATACCTGCCCTGTGCCTCGGCCTGGTTGGGGACTCCCAAAGTTTAGGGTTTAGGGCTTAGGGTTTAGGTTTAGGGTTTAGGGTTTAGGGTTAGGGTTTAGGGTTTAGGGTTTAGGGTTTAGGGTTTAGGGTGTAGGGTGTAGGGTGTAGGGTGTAGGGTTTAGGGTTTAGGGTTTAGGGTTTAGGGTTTAGGGTTTAGGGTTTAGGGTTTAGGGTTTAGGGTTTAGGGTTTAGGGTTTAGGGTTTAGGGTTTAGGGTTTAGGGTTTAGGGTTTAGGGTTTAGGGTTTAGGTTTAGGGTTTAGGGTTACCTATATGATTTCCTTCGTTTGTGGCAGATGCGAAGTTCCACAGCACTCTGTTTCAGGGGAGGGGAGATGCCTTCAGCCGAGCCAAGATGCGGGTTTAGGGTTTAGGGTTTAGGGTTTAGGGTTTAGGGTTTAGGGTTTGGGGTTTAGGGTTTAGGGTTTAGGGTTTAGGGTTAGGGTTTAGGGTTTAGGGTTTAGGGTTTAGGGTTTAGGGTTTAGGATTTAGGGCTTGTGGCGTTTAGGGTTTAGGCCTTATATAGGGCTTCGGGCTTACCTCCTTCCAGTTGCAAGGAGATATAGAGTGGGCACAAATCGCTACTTGAAGTTATAGGTGATAGGTATGGCTCGTATTATGCTCTCGTAGAACCTGCACACAAGTATGGCGAGGTTTTCTTCGGAGTTTGTGCACTTTGTCACCGTTGCAAAAGCCTATGACGATTAGAACGGCGCTTGCAGCAACACCCAATAGACAGTTATGTTCTCTCAAGCTACCACTACAACCATTCCTTGAAGCCTGTGACAGGCTGTTGATCGCGGTCCACACGCCTAAGCGCAAGAACTTGAACCCAGTTCCCCAAACCCTAAAACTCTAAACCCTAAACCGTGCGGTTTAGGGCTTAGGGTCCAGGGTTTGGGGTTTAGGGCTTGGGCTCACCAAAACCTGCACTGTCCTCCTCCTGCGGCTCTGCAGGTACTGACGTGGAGTCCCTGCACCGCATTAGGCAGGAATTTCTGGCTTAGGGTTTTGGGGCCACCCTCTATTGACCCCAACTGGATCATGGTTGAGGGCTGAGGGTCGAGGTGTAGTGTTTAGGGTTTCGGCCTTAGGGTTTCGGATCTACGGATCCCAGACCCCCGATTCAATCCCGAGTTTGGCATAGATGGGAGCTGTGATCATGGGTCTCCAACCTTCAGATACTACTATTTGCTTAAGAATCCCCAAAAAAAATAAGATCCTAGTACCCTTAATAAGGAAGAATATGATTTTGATGCTGTTCTCAAAATTCCGCAGGAATGGAGGGGGGGTCAGAGCTTCTTGTGAAAGCGTTAAGGAGGTCGGGTTTTGGGTTTAGGATTTAGGGTTTAGGGTTTGGGGTTTAGGGTTTCGGGTTCAGGGTTTACAGTTTAGGGTGGTTGCAGCAGGTCCGGTCTTCATCGTCCTAAAGGAAGTGCGAGCTTCCTTGCTGAGTACGTGTATCCATTCTGAAGACGCCTGAGACAAACTCTGAGGGGCTGAAAACCCCAACCCAAAACAGGTCAACCTTTATGTACAGTAGGATGCTAGATAACCACAAAGTCTAAGCATTCCCTACCCAATCCCTAAGAATTTGTTCCTTAGCCACAAATCCCCAAGAGCAGCACTGTAAGGTATCTAAGCCGAAAACTCGCCGACCTTGTTCCCGCTGTGACCTACACTCCATAAGGGTTTAGGGTTTAGGGCTTAGGGTTTAGGGTTTCGAGTTCTGCATCCAACGCTTGTGAAACAGACCGGCGCTCCTAGAAACAATACACCCCAAGCACCCCAAGCACCACGACCTTTCCCAAAGCCCATGCTCTTGCACACTCCTACGCCAAAAAACCCTAAACCGTGATGCCCTTGACCCTGAACCCGGAACCCCTAAACCCCTAAACCCCTATACCCCTAAACCCCTACACTCCTAAACCCCCAGACCCCCAAGACCAAAACCCTCAACACCTAAACCGTGGTTGAAAAGGGTTTTAGGGATGAACCCCAAGCACCGCATGCTGAACGTCCAAGGGGCTCGTCCCAAAGAACTTGCTGGAGCGCGTCCTCACGCAAGGCCTGCTGAGGGTGTCGGGTTTAGGGGTAGGGTTTAGGGTTTAGGGTTTCGGGTTTAGGGTTTAGGGTTTAGGGTTTGGGGTTTAGGGTTTGGGGTTTGGGGTTTGGGGTTTGGGGTTTGGGGTTTCGGGTTTGGGGTTTGGGGTTTGGGGTTTGGGGTTTGGGGTTTGGGGTTTGGGGTTTGGGGGTTGGGGGTTGGGGGTTGGGGTTTGGGGTTTGGGGTTTGGGGTTTGGGGTTCACAAACTTCCTAAACCCCTAAACCCTCGCAGCAGAACCATCAGAAAAAAAAGAATCACGTCCCTGACTCTAAAGCTCTCGGGAAGTAGGGGAACCCCAACTTGGAGGGTTTAGGGTTTAGGGCTTAGGGTTTAGCGTTTAGGGTTTAGGGTTTAGCGTTTAGGGCTTAGGGTTTAGGGTTTAGGGTTTAGGGTTTAGGGTTTCAAAGCCCCCTGAAGAAGCCTACTACACCTCCAAGCCCCCAAGCCCCAAGACCCAATTCGAGGGGTTCGTGAACCCTAATTTAGGTTGTTGGGCTTTAACCTTAACCCGAATTCCGAAACCCTGAAACCTTAAACCCTAAACCCCTAAACTCCCCAAAGCCTAAACTCTTAAACGTCTTAAACTCCCAAAGCCCCTAAACCTCTAAACTGCCTAAAACCCCTAAACTCCCTAAACCCCTACACTCCCTAAACCCCTAAACCCCCTAAAATCCCATAACCCGAAACCCTAAACTAAACCCTAAACGCTAAACCCTAAACCCTAAACCCTAACCCTCAACCCTGAAACGCGAAATTTGGCCCCAAGAGCCTCGCTATCGCCGATGCGCGCAATGGGCTCATCTGGCCCGGCCTCCGCGGGAGTTTGGTTTAGGTTTTAGGGTTTAGGGTTTAGGGTTTAGGGTTTAGGGTTTAGGGTTTAGGGTTTAGGGTTTAGGGTTTAGGGTTTAGGGTTTAGGGTTTAGGGTTTAGGGTTTAGGGTTTAGGGTTTAGGGTTTAGGGTTTAGGCTTCGAGATGCTCTGCTTTAAAGAAGAGGGGGGCTTTAAGGGTTTGAGGGGTTTGAGGGGTTTAAGGGTTTAGGGCATAAGGTTTAGAGTTTAGGGTTTAAGTGTTTAAGGCTTTAAAGCTTTAAGGCTTTAAGGCTTTAAGGCTTTAAGGCTTTACGGCTGCCAGGCTTTAAGGCTTGAAGGGATGAAGGGATAAGGCTTAAGGGTTTTGAGGGATTTGGGGTTTTGGGCATCGGAGTTTAAAGGGTTAGTTTAAGATTTAGGGTTTTAGAGCTTAAGGGCTCAGGGATTACGGTTCAAGGTTTAGTGTTTCTTGCTTAGGGTCTGGGCGGCTATCGGACCTGTAGACTTTGGAGTTTTTTTTTTTTTTGGGGGGGGGGGGCTTCTACATGACATATCATTTAAGGGCTTGTAGGACTTGTCGGATTTATGTGATTACGGTTTAGGGCCTAGGGGGCCTAGGGTTTTTTAAGTCTGCCACGCGCTGCCGATACTCAGCTGGAAAACCGCGGTGTGTCCTTCCCGGTTGGCGCCACGTCCCCGTACTGGACACGGAAACCTTGTCACAACAGAAATTGACTACAAAACGTTGCCCAAAACAGAGAAAATATCAAAAAAATATAAAAGCAAGCTAAGACCCATTTCTAAAAGCTTGCCAGCTTGGCATACTTAGCATTTCGTTGCCGATCCCCCTTGCAATCAAAACAAACAGTGGTCTGCGGTCTGCCCGGCGGGCGTAGCCCTGACGCTATACAAAGCACAGATCCCATGTCTCGCGGGTGCACTCTTCACTGCTTTTTGTGCAGCGACGCTGTGAAAGCTTGGACTTTGGATAAGGTGAAACAGATCCAAGCAGGAGTGTGGACTATGGCTTTCCATCCTTTTCTCCTTCGCCTCACGGACTTTCTGCTCCTCCTCTGCCTCTTTGGCCTTCTTCTCAGACATCCTCTTCACCTGCTTCTCGGCTGCCATCCTTTGCTCCTCTGCTTCCTTCGCCTCGCGGACTTTCTGCTCCTCCTCCTCCTCCTCCTCTTTGGCCTTCTTCTCGGCTGCCATCCTTTTCTCCTCTGCTTCCTTCGCCTCACGGCGCCTCTTTGGCCTGCTTCTCAGACGCCATACTTTTCTCCTCTGCCATCTTCGCCTCGCGGAGTTTCTGCTCCTCCTCCTCTTTGGCCTTCTTCTCAGACGCCTTGCTTTTCTCCTCTGCTTCCTTCGCTTCGCGTGCTCCTCCTCCTCTTTGGTCGTCTGCTTCCTTCTCCTCGCGGACTTTCTTATCCTCCTCACCTTTGGCCTTCTTCTCAGACGCCATCCTTTTCTCCTCTGCTTCCTTCGCTTCGCAGACTTTCTGCTCCTCCTCGTCTTTGGCCTTCTTCTCAGACGCCATCCTTTGCTCCTCTGCTTCTTTCGCCTCGCAGGCCTTCGGCTCCTCCGCTTTGGCCCGTTCGTTTCTCATCCTTTTCAGGCCTTTGGCCTCGCGAAGTTTCTGCTCCTCCGCCTCCTCCTTTGCTTTCTTGGCCTCGCAGGCTTTCTGCCTCAGAAGAACTAGTACGTACGATGTACAAGAGGCAATAAGGGAAAGGCAACAACCAGGCAACCTACCCAAATGCTAAGGTCCTACAGACAATGGCGGGCCGGGTGAGGAAACCCAAGGAGCCCAAAAGCCCTGAAAGAGCAAAGCTTCTCCCTGACGCCGAGACGAGGCCTCGCGCCGAGGCCTGCGGCCGCGCCACAAATCGGCAGCCACACACGGCCTTCCTCTGCCTGGCCCTGTCTCCATCATCGTCGCCGCTGCCCGAGTCACCCTACCAACTGGCCTCCTCCCGTTCGCTCACGAGACTCCAGGCCTAGACCCCTCAAGGTCTCAAGATCCTAATTTAATTCACGCACTACGTTCTTTGCATTCACTTCGTTTGTAATTAAAACGCTCTATCACTTCGTAGTAATACAATAAGTAAGTGAAACGAACCCCCTTTCTAATCATATTTGCGTACACGCGTGAATTATATTACAAGTATGTGCAAATAGTAATAAAATAGGGCCCATTCACTTCGTCTTCTCACGCTCGTAATTTAAGTATAAAATCGTGCAAGCTTAACCAAACTCAAAACGATCATTCTTAAGCTTTGACAAGACACTGTTTTGTCGGCGCACGATTATGGATGCCGTGCTCCTGAAGCGGTTGCTGTGGAACTCGAGGTCAGCGGTGCCGTAAATGTGGCCCAGACCCCAAAACAAGACAAACGTAAGCATGTGAGGCCCAAACATCATCAGGAAGACGCTCTGCATGATGACAGCCATGTCCAAGTTCCACCTGCGTGGCCAAGGCTGGTCAAATAACAGGGCGGGTCAAGGTAAGCTCAAGGTGGTCAAGTAGTCAAGGGTCATGGCGTCAACGGACTGTCAACTACTATTCTGCTTCTTCTTCTTCTTCTTCATGGCGCCAAGAGTGTCCTGCCTCATTGCCACCAGCGAAGAGTGAGGATGATCGTGCATCATGATCATCCCCCGGACCCAAACCCACAGAAAAGTCCCCTAAAATCCGCATCAGCGCCTCAGCCTCAGCGACTCTTGAGAACACAACCTGTTAACCAAAACAAATTCATGGCATCGTGGCTTTGCTTCTGTCTTCAATGACCATCAATTCAAGCGCATGTGCACGTCAGGCCTGTCGGGCCCGTCGGGCTGTTCACCGCCATCCAGGTTTCCGAATCGTTAACGTTTTCTTCAAAAGTCAAAGCTTTGCCGCAAAACACAGACATGGTCAAAGCAAAGTTGTCTTTTTTCACTTGCTTGTTAGAAAAACCCTAAAAACAACTCAAAACAAAGCCCTCAAGCCCAGGCCCTCAGGAGCCGAGAACACGCCATGGGCCTATACCGACAGTTCCGAGTTCCGACGGTTCCGAATCGCCCAAACTGACACACCACGGGTCGCAAAACTGAACGTGTTGAAAAACCCAAAACAAGCCAAAACCACTACGCGCAAGGACGCCGCGAAACCCAGCAGCGCAGCCACCAGACCCTGCGCTCAGGGCGTTTACGTACGTATGCACCCGCTATTCTGGGAAGTTTCCGAAATGTCATACCGGGTCCCCCCATTGAGGAGGGTTACCCGCAACTTTGCGAAGTTCGTGCGACGGGGGGACGGGGGGGGCAGGGAGCCAAAAAGAAAGAAAGTTTTGAATAAGAAGGCCTGGAAAGCTAAGACCCTCAAACTTCGGCCCGATGCCAGCTTCAAACTCCGGATATTTTTTTGGAGTCCGGCTTCATACAAATGCCTTTTAACATATTCTTACGAAACAAGCCCTCCAAACAATTTTCTAAGGGAGTAGCCCACGAGCTGCCCTCTTGGCTTTAGTACTTTGTTGCGGTTACCCGCATTTATCCCCCCCCCCCCCCCCCCCCCCCGCCAGAGAGCCAAAACGCCCCGCTTCCCCTCAAGCCTCGACCCCTACCCGCCCTACCCCCAGCCTTGAGCACACACACACACACACACCCACGCACGCACGCACGCACGCACACGCACACGCACACGCACACGCACACATGCACACATGCACACACCTCTTCGCCTTTTGCGTTGTTTTGGGATGGCATTATGCATCCGTACCTGTTTCACACCTTGCCGGGGCGGTTTGGGGAAGCTGGATTTCGCGGGTATACAAGTTGAAGTTGTTCAACTGTGAGACGTCAAATGTTGACGGCTGTCTCCGCGGCAGTGTGCAAGTTTGCTACGTGAGGCGGACAGACTTTAAAATACTTTAATGCTGCACGCGCAGGATGGGTCATGTCATGACCTGAAGCAAGTTGCCCCCCTCCAACCAAGTGGCAACGCACAAACAGCTACGCTGTGCGATGCCGTCGCTTGGTGCCCGAACTGCTGCAGCCTTTCTCCGGCTTTTTCGGTAGGTTTCCTGTTCCCTGCTTCCCTGGTCCCCTGGTCTGCTGGTCTGCTGCAACCACGTCACGGCGGGCGTCCGCGCCGGCGTGGTAGGCAAGGTAGGGCATTCCTGCGGCGCAGAGTGCCGGGCCTGGAAACCCACCCCGAGACCTTGGCGCACAGGCGGGGCGCAAGAAGTTGACAAGGCTCGGAGCACAGCAGTCCGGGCGAAAACTTTATGAGCCGTACCTGTGTTTTTGAGGCTCCTGCAGAACAGACAAACACCATACAGCAAACATCCGAAAGGGATCTAAAGGCTGCACCTGCAGCATTCTTTGGAGAGATCGCACCTCTTGGCGGCTCTTCTCCACCAATCGAGCCCAGACAACAAATACACGCACCAAAAACATGCGGCGCAACCAGTCCTCGCCCAAGTCCTGACAAACCAACGCAACAGCTTGAAGATGAATGGAGACTATTCAGTCCGAAGCAAACCGCTCTTCGCCTCAGCGCTCAAAGGCAGGATTCTGGCATGGTCTGGCACGAAAGCGTTGGGCATTTGCCCCTATATGACCCACTACCCCTAAGGTCCCTTCCAAGGGTCCCTCCTTTTAGTCATGTTGCTCTTAACAAGAAAGACCCTTGAGGTGATTATCGCACCCTGTCAAAAGCCAGATTAAAACCCGTGGTCCCCGAAAAGAAACACCTAACCCCCCCCCCCAAAACAAAACAAAAAATCGTCCGTTAACCCTAAACCCTGAACACCTTCAACTACGCAGCTTAAACTCTAAACCCTGAACCCTAAGCCCTAAACACCCTAAACCCTAACCCCTAAAGTAGGGCCCTGAACCCTGCAACCCTTCAATCACAAGCCCATGCAAGGAACCGTGCAAGCTCCCTTGAAGAGGCATCCCGACACCAGCAAGCCCGTCAAAGCCCTAGGGTTTAGGGTTTAGGGTTTAGGGTTTAGGGTTTAGGGTTTAGGGTTTAGGGTTTAGGGTTTAGGGATTTAGGGATTTAGGGATTTAGGGTTTAGGGAAAAAAAAACCGAGCCTTAAACCCCAGGCCCCCAATAGCCCTCAACCCCAAACCCGAAGCCCTTTCCAGCCCTGAGCAGTCCTCGAACCTCAACCCTAAACCCTAAACCCTAAACCCTCAACCCTAAACCCTAAACCCTAAACCCCTTAAGAGCCCTCAACCCTCAACCAAAAGCCCTGTAAGCCCCACACCCTGACACCAAACCCAGAACCTTGAGCCCTTAGTAGCCCTAAACCCTAAACCCCCCCCCCCCCCCCAAAAAAAAACCGCAAACCCTCAACCCAAAGCACCAAGCCCTTAGTAGCCCTAAACCCCAAACCCTTACCCCTAAGCACTGAGCCCTTGGTAGCCCTAAACCCCAAACCCTAACCCCTAAGCACTAAGCCCTTAGTAGCCCTAAACCCTAAACCCTCAACCCTAAGCCCTCAACCCGACGGCCTCGAGGTGCGGTGGTAGCGGCAGGCCCTGCATCAGCAGCATTTGCCGGAAGGCCTGGGGGCTTGGGGTTCAGGGCGCTGGGTAAGGCTTCGGGTGTTGGGCTTAGGGTTTAGGGTTTAGGATTTATGGTTAGGGTTTTAGGGCTTTGGGTTTTGAGTTTTGGGTTTTGGGCTTTGGGCTTTGGGCTTTGGGCTTAGGGTTTAGGGTTTTAGGTTCAGTGTTGAGGGTTTCCCTTAATAGGGGGTTGAGGAGTTTAGTAGTTTAGGGTTTAGGGTTCTGGGCTTAGGGTCTAGCGTTTAGGGTTTAGGGGTTCGGGTTTAGGTTTAGAGATTCGGGTTCGGAGATGGGAATTAGAGTTTAGGGTTTACAGCTTAGGGTTTAGGGTTAGGGTTCATAGGGTTTAGGGCTTCTGTAAGTGTTTATAGGGTTGACAGGGTTGACAAGCTTTGATGGGCTTCTGTTTTTAAACGGGGCTTGGGGTTAAGAGGGATTTATAAGGTTTACAGGATTCTCGAGACAAAACAATTCCGCAATGACAAGAAGCACCGTACTTTTCTGAACTGCTCTTGAAACCTCCTTGGAGACGATGTAATGTCTAGGGCTTAGGGCTTAGGGCTTAGGACTTAGGGCACGTCCAGACTTGCATTAGCAACTGCAACCGCAAAGTAGAACAGGTGCGACTCGCACGAAAGCGAACGGCCAACTGCCGAACTACTCGTCGCCATAGGAGCTTCGAACGTGGTCACAGCCGAGAATGTGTGGAGCTCTGCAACACAACCCCTAAACCCTAAACCCTAAACCCTAACCCTAAACCCTAAACCCGAAAATCTACACCCCAGACACTAAACCCTGTCCCTTCACGGGTACCCGCGCTCTATCATGGGCCTTTTAGTTGAACTCCTTTTGGGAACTTTCCCTGCCCTAAGTCCCTAAGGGGTCCCTAAACCCTAAACCCTAAACCCTAAACCCTAAACCCTAAACCCCAAGTAGCATCACTGTCGCGGCTCGCTGTCGGCACCCACCTAGATTTTATGGGAGGATCCGAAAAGTCGAACCCCCAAATAGTCCCTACACCAGAAACACGAAACCCTGAACCCTAA